GAAAATGCGCGTATTTTTTAAGTAAAACTGAAGTCTCCTTCGTCCTCTCACCATTTCCGCCGCCCACCCCCCCACCATTTAATAAAAAGTATTAACAGAAGAACATTCAAAAATTTACAGATACTATAAATAAAGATGCTGTTGACTGCTTACTAGATTTCTAAGATGAAATTCTTCTATTTTACCCTAACTTTTAGATCTTTAAGTTCACTTTGTCTAAGTTTTTACGTTTATAAAGTAAAAACACCTGCTACCAGTTTCTTCGTTGTATTGAGAAAAATATTGTATTTCAAAAGGCCCAAATAGTATGGTATGACACTTGAATAAACTATAAAATAGATGTTCCGGAATATACTTTGAAATTTGTTTGGCGGAATCATGCAGATCTTTTAGATGAGGATCCACATTGTGTAGCACTTTTATTAATAGGAAACGTTTTATTCAATATTGGATATGTATGAACAAACATTAGATGAATATATTTCCTTAAAAAGTTTCTACAGATAAGATATTTTGTCTAAATGAAATTTATTTAATAACAGTTATTTTTGGTTGTTTTATTCAAATATTCTTCAAGCAATATATCGTGTATGTCGAGTTGTCTTAATTTTACGAAGACATGTATGAGCTTTTTCTCAGATCATTTTGTTTTTCAACATGAACTTATTTTCCTAAAGACTCTAGTAGCTTTCGAAACGATATGAGACAAACTTTAAAGAAACTGTAAGTTATAAACATTAAAAGAAACTATCGTGTACAACAATTCGTACGGAAGACAGAAATCGGTCGTGCAGCAACATATTTGTGACTTTTTAGTCTTGGTTTTTTCCAACATTCACTTCCTTTCACCACTTGTGAATGAGCAGCAAAAAATGACGATGTAATATTCGAGTAGTTCGATAGAAAATGTAAACAGAGAAAAGTAAAAACGTTGCACTCACATATATTACGATATTTCTGCTAACAGTATTTCTTCTGCGACTAAAACTGTCCTACCATGTCTAACAAGACACGAGAATTAAAGGAAACAAAACCAAAGAGAGACACGTCGACGGCAGCTAAATCGACAAGAACTGTACTAGCAGCGCCAACATCGGCAAAAGGTATATTGAAAAAAACTGAACCGACGACAATGGCAACGAAGATGACAACGTCGGGAGGAACCAGTTTGGACTCAAGTACAGTGGCAGCATCTGTATTTAAACAACATGCCCCAATGATAACTCCACTGGTAACAACTATGTCGACAGCAGATGTATCGGAATCAAGTACATTAGCCGCGAATGCAAAATCTCCAATTTGCAGGGTTTCTCTGTATGCATTGAGGTACTTCATCGATTCTGACAAACTGAAACTGCAAGCGGTTTTTGGGCCTAAACTTGCATTAGATTTTGAGGAAATTGTCCGACTGCCCAACGACAAGGAGCAAGCTTACGTTCCATTCGTGTTTCAACTATCTGCCAATGTACAGATAGACGTCGACGGTATTCCTTATGTTGTGACCAAAAAAGCCCGTTATCGTTGTACAGAATATTACTTACGTGTTGAAAAGTCAGCTTTGTTTTTCCAGTCTTCCAAATGTGACGAAATAGCACGAAGATCGATGAGTAACAACAGATCATCACATCAATTCCTTCTTGATTTACGTTTTCCAGATGATCGCGATAATGCTCTTTTCGGTAAGTTTTTTCGGTATTTTATTGCATATGGTGATCGTTATCTATGTCTTGCTTTGCAAAAACATTTTTGATCTTCTTTCTCTTGCTTTGGTCCTCATTTTCATCATTGATCTGTAGCTTATGCTCGTGTTTGACTTATTGATGAATTGAGATATTGTTGTTCAATGAGTTGCAAATTAGGAGTTAAATTATATATTCGTCTAAACTTCAAGTAGGACACAAAGGAAAACTTATTTTTCCCTTTTTGAAGCTTTTTTAACAGATGTCTGTTTTATACGAAGGGATCAATATCTTCAGCTAGAGAAACTTGGCTCGATTCTCTTTGTTTATGAATAATAATCTGAGGGATCGGGATTTTCTTCTCAATTGAAGTAAGTAGACGGTAGTTCCGTCACAGTGAGTTTTTGACCGTTTTTCGAGATTGGGTAAAGTGAGGTGCGTTAGATCGATGTTTTAGTTATTAATTATAATCCTCTATTTTATTAGTAATGATCCAAATCTGACTGCAGCCCTTTGGAATTCCACTTAGTTTATTTAAATTACTTCGAACCCAAATGCGATCAACCATTCACCGCATAGTTTCGTGCTTCTCAGAATAAAATAAGTTTGTCAGTAACGACGATCATTAGAGATGGTCAGAACTTTCGGCAGGTTCGGGTTATTTTTTGCGGTTTCTGAAAAACGGGTTTTCTAGATAACCAGGTCTTCGAAGGTCTAGCAGCAAAAATCATTGTCTTATTCGGAATCAGCATAGTCGATAACCTATTCTCCACTAGATTTCAACAAAAAAGCGAGCCTTGTGGCAGCGAGACTTGTGGCAGTTCCCTCGTTAGATAAAGCGAACATAAAGATCTAAAAATTAGGGTAAAATAAAAGAATTTCATCTTAATAATCTAGAAGGCAATCAACAATATTTTTATTTATAGTATCTGTAAATTTTAATTTATCTTCTTTTATAGCTACAGTTCTGACGGGAGCGCGTAAAATTCCTCTTCACACCTTACGAGGAATTTACGTTTCCAAGAGAATTTCAGCCATTCGCAGAGGAGTTTTGGCTGCTTCCACGATAATTGTACTCTACCAGAGGAGAAATTTAGTTATAAAAGAAGACAGAATGTCAATCTCCACGACACGAGATGTTCAGTTATAAAAGAAGATATATCGTCCATCTCCACGAGAATGTTAGACATTCTCAGAAGAATTTTTCGCACTCCCGCCATAACTTTAGTTATAAAAGAAGCCATATATTCACAGCCATATTTCTCAAAGACCGAATGGGATCCTTTTCTAAAAAACAGATCGTGCACAAATCGTGTACTTTAAACTGGTGTATAGTCATTTCTACCTGTAAAGTCTATCCGTATACGTCTAGCACGACTGATTTTACTTCCCATTAAATCATCACAGAAGTTTATCGAATCGTATTTCTCATTCATTTGATTTCTAATATCTTGAATCGAGACGTCATTGTCCGCAAATTTAATCAATACAGAGTATGGAGAAGGCAATTTCCTGGGCAACTGTGGTTCAAGTTGAATATCATTGACGTGAGCTGAATAGTGAGACAGTATACATACATAAATAAAAATTTCTGAGCAGTTTGCCGGAAGGAATACATCATTACTCATGTCGACCACCATGCTTCAAAAGCCAGTGGTTTCTTGAATAACGGATTTTGCATATTGAAATCTTTTTCAATATGTTTAAGCAAGGGGTTAACGAAACATGCACCATCCTCCTTTTGGAGTTTTGCTGTACAAACAATTTTGATCAGTGGAGAATGATTCTTCGGCACGAACTTTAATGGTTGTTTTGAAATCTGAATATTTTCCAGCGCGCTACACAAATGATTTTGATTAAAATTCAACATATATTTACCTCCATGACTCGATCTCGTTCGATCATCAGCATCGTAAAATTCATCGCTGGCAGTTTCATTTGCTCGTCGTCGTTTATTGTCATTCGATAGTCTGTCTATTTCCTGAATTATCACCAGCTAAACTCATATTTGTCAATTGCCGCTTAACGAAATTTTGATGCTTGAGAAGAGTTATGAGGTGAACGATTTTGGTTATGAAATTTACGTTGAAAATAAGTATCATTTACAGCATCCTCCTTATCTTGTATCGATTGGTAACTCGTCTTAACATGTCCGGAACGGATTTATCAATTTAATCAAAAATTGAATTTTGTTAATGTATTAATAATTGAATAAGGAAAAACAAACCCAAGTAAAATAGAAAAAAAGAAACACGTGTACATATACATATATGTACGTATAGCTACTATGGTACACAAGAGAAAAATAGTACGTTCGTTTACTTCAAGTGAACAGCGAAAAGTGATATATCTTAGTACTAAATCCCTCTTCCACCTTATTTCATATGATAAATTACATCTAAACATCGATTTGATATTAGCAGAGTTTAGAACAACGTTTTTTTCAGGTACGAACGTTCCTGTCTGGGAACAACTGTGCTTTTTCACGTACTTTATAATTCACAGTCGTCAACTTGATTTATTTTCCACGTTAATGGAACAATTTGCAAACGTTGTACATACCTATGACCTTGAAATGTGTCCAAAAGCTTTTGCAAATTTCGCTGAGACAGCGTATGATTATCTGAAATATATCGAAAGTGCTCTCGATGAACCTGCATGCGTTCGAGCCGTTTTACGGATGTGGGGAATCTTACCCATTAACAAAAAAAGTCTTCCTGCCAGTGAACACACTGTCCGCTTGTTAGTGGTTACTCTGCTAAAGCGTGTGTTACCCAGTCTATCTGCTTCATTCGTTAAAAAAATGGACAAGACTGAGTGGCTTTTGTTCAAAGATGGATTGGTGCTTTTGATGTGTATCGAGATCTTAAGCGATAACACAAATTCCGAGTACGATATGATTAGTTCATTCCTTCACTTCACAACTGCAGTAAATCAGAAACAGGAGATAGCCGATTTGATACTCCAACGACTTCTCGAATCTCAGCAGCCAATTCAACGATCTAATTGGATCAATTTAATGTCTTGTATATCCAATGATAAACTAACGTGCGATTGCCTTAAGTTATCATCATCATTTACTGCATTTTTTCTATGTTCAACATACATTCTACGACGTTCCCTACATGATAAAGCTGTGCAAACTCGTGTTAAACATGTTTTCGATGAAATGATCACTCAGAATATGCTTCGTGGTAAGTACATTGATCATTACTGATTGTTATTTTTTCAATGTGTGTATCTCTGTAGTTCAACTAAACGAGATTGTCATGATTTTAAAACGTCTGCAAGATCCATTACCAGCACACGAAAATGAGAAAGAATTGACAGAAGTAATTCATTCAATGATTGAAACAAGTGTAGCACTTCAGAATAAGATCAGACTTTATCTGTCGAAATTGATAATCCAAGATACTGATTTGAAATTACTGTATGAACTATTTCAATATTATCATCCAACCCTACTATTCGATCTCGACAAGCAGACATATCTACACTCAACTTTAAATCAACATGAACAACGTTCATGTGATTTTTATACTAATTGGTTTGAATATTTCTTATGTGATATTCATTATGTTGAAACAGAACAAGAGTGGTCTTATTTCCAACTTTTGATGAACAAATGGTTAGATAAAATTGTACATGATCGTGTACTTTTTTGTCAAATTATGAAAAAAATGGATGGTTTACTTGAGCGGCTCAATCATATCGTAAATAATAAACCAAAAAATCGACGTTTCACATACTTCGTCAAGCATATGGTTGATAAATCCTTCAAGCAGGGTATAACATTTTCTTAATTCAGTTAGGAATTTAATATAACATGTTTGCTAATTTTAATAGGTTCTCTATCTGATGCTGTTATCAATGTTGGATCGAATGTACAAAACGAAATCTTTATTCAAGAGTTCGAAAGAAAATTTAAAGAGAGTTACGTCCTTCCATATCAACATCAAATGAAAACGATGGTAGCTATTAATAATCCGCTGATAACTTTAATTGAGCTGAATCAACGAAAAGAAGCCATTCATCTTGTTAAACGTCTTCTTGAGATCTGTTGTGGTGTAATCAAAATTGATCGCGATGAATTACTTCATAATACTTTCGATTGGCCGGCAGAGAATACTTTGACATATGTTATGTTATCTGAAAATTGTTTTATAGAAATGCCCCTTCGTCGACTTATACTTGATCAACTTACAAAATTCTGGAATGTTTGGGAGGAAACAGGCTTAACAGCTCGTGAAATAAGACGCTGGCAAAGTTTTACCGCCAATCAACGATATTATTTCGGCAAAATATGGAATGTTGTTGAAAAATTTGCAAAGAAAAACTACACAGTAGATCGGTTATTTGATAAGCAGTATCAAGAAATGCTTGAAAAGATAAAAATTAAAGAAAAAATTGTTACTTGTCTAAATGCATATTGTCCGGAAGGTAGTGACAGGCAGAGTTATATAGTACTTCTTGAGCGTATGCAACGACAAATTGATGAAGCGACAGTGCAAACGATTGTTATTGCACCTGAACTCAAAAAACTTGTACCTTTAGTCGATCGTCTTAGTCATATTTCAAAATCAAATGCTTGGATGCATTTCTATACTAAACAACTTGAAGGTAAAACGTAGTCTGCTAATTATTAGTATAACTTCTGCCTGTTATGATGTCCGATTTCTTTTATAGATCACCAAATTCCAACCGATACGCGAAGGAACGATGATGACGAGGACAATGAAATTTTCAATATCAATTCGCTGTTCAACATCGATGAAGGTAAAAGTAATATCAATTCAACATGTCCTAATAGTGCTTGATAAGGACAATAACCTTTGATCATGTTCAAGACTGAATCGTTCGCTCCATGAGCTGCAGATCAGCGAGTTACAACGAGAGAGGACTGTTATCTGGAAGATAACTGAACTATATTGTACACATTCGATGAGGATACTTGTTAGATGCTCAAAAATTCATATGAAGATCTTGCTTTTGAATGACTGACTATACAAGGATCTCAACGCATTTTTTATTAATCTTTACACTTACTAGCTCGTTGGAAATAAATTAAAGCATCAAATTTGTCCTCTGTAGACTTGAAAAGACTAGTTAATTCGTATTTTACTGAGTGGTAGATTTAATTGTCTCGAATTTTGCCTTGTAATTATTTAGCTTTAAGAATACTCTTTTCGTAAAGTTACAATGCGCAACAACGATTACGTGAATAGTTACTAAAACATAATGATTATTCTGATTACAAATAGAAGATAGTTAGAATATGATAGAGTCCATTTTCTTAAATAACAATGAAAGAGTCCGAGCTTACAAAAAGCTTTTCAGTTTATTTTCTTCAAAAAGTGGAAGACAACTGATTTCCAAAAGATACTTATGCTTGCCTCAATTTGATCGAAATATAAAATATGTATCCAGAAACTTCTTTGCTGGGTTTTGCATTAAGCCCTTCCCCCTCAGAAATTATCTCCGACATCCGATTTCGACCAAACTTCCAGTAAATCTTAGGTTTAATGAGCTACGGGAATGAAACAATCTTTTGTCTTCGAGTTTTCCAGAGATGAACGTCCAAAAAGGACCCTAAAGTTTCTACCAAGACTTTTTAATATAGTTCAAGCAAGCGAGTTCGGGTTTGTTTTATTTTAAACTTGACACCTAACCACATGGACTGACCGGCGCCGATTTTTCAATTAAGCCTTTATTCTCCAAAACCCGAAAAATCCTTCCGGATTTTCTAGAAATCCCCAGTTTGTCAAAAGACTACGATCTAATTCAATAATCAGCACTGGTCAGGGTAGGTATAACTTCCATACAGAGAAAACGCTGTCTAAAATGCTCAGTTTTAGGACTTGAGGAAAAATACTTGTAACTTTTTGATGCAAGGTTACACAAAGTTGTGCGAGGTCTTATTTAGATCAGAAAAGTTTGCTCCATAAATCTGTGCGTTCAGAAAAACATTTAGTTGCATAAATATCCAGCGAAAAGCTATTATTTGAAAACCAGATTTTCAGGGCTTCTAGAAAACTTGCTCGAAAACTCGACACTTTCGACAAATCATTTATGCAACCGAAAGCGATACAGATTCTGAAAGTAGACACTTCAGGCTTTCTTCCCATGTGCTTATCTCCAAACCGATTTTTTGACAAAAAATCACCATTTCTGAGGGGCACAGTGGGCAATTTTGACTAGGCACGTAGCGATGTGCCACAAAAGCAGAGCTGAACAAGTCAGAAGTTTTGCCCAGCTCCGCATAAAACTGATACGAATTCGTGTGATACGGTTTTCGTATGCACTCTTTTCAATAGTGTGATTTACAAGTTCAAACCAGATGTTTTTATCAGGTTTTACTAGAGATCCGCTCTCTGTAAAATCCGATTAAAAGTGATTTTGAACTTTGTAAAACGCACCATTGGAAAGAGCGCATACGAAACCTCTGAAAATAATAGTTTTCGTAGGCTTTCAAACTGCTTCTAAATTGAAAATCCTAATGCCTAGTGAAAACTGCTACGGGACTGCTGCAAATCTGTCATTTCATTAAATCGAGGTATTTTTTTGCACATAAAAACATACAAGTGACATATCATTCGATGTTGTTTGATGCACTGATTCCAAATATGTCGCTTTTGTTGGAAAAACCTGTTTCTAAAATTTCGTTTTGCACTTAGAGTAAGACATTTTCGATTATTTTCTATTTCAATCGAAACTATCGCACGTAGAGATCCAAACTCGAAAATAATCGAAAATGTCTTACTCTAAGTGCAAAACGAAATTTTTCGTATGGCAAAATACTAAAGTGACGTAAGAGTTCAGATTACTTGCGTAAAGCGTAAAATGAAGTTAACATGCAAAATAGAATAAAAGTGTGAGATCCTCTTTAATTTGGAGGCCTAAGAATAACAACCACAGAAAATTAACGGACTTTAATTTGCGCATAGGTCGGTGCATATCTAATTATAAATACAACTTAAAAAGTTTTTTGCGAATCCGTGGCTGACAGCATGCAGATCTAGAGTATATGTCGTTTCCAGTTATAAGTTCAACGCCTGTTATTAAATTTTACTTTTCTTGTTGATACTACTATTTTCAAGCTAAGTTTTGATTAGCTGTGTTCTCACGCAATGGAAATTTTGTAATAAAATTTTTGTGCCATCGCATACAGCATGTCTTGAGGTATATTGTTCACTATTTGAATCATCGAAAAGTCGATTTCTATTTTTTTATTTAATATCCACTTGATTGTCCACTGTGAGAGGGGAAGAGGTCCCTTAAGAAAGAATGAAAGAAAGACAGAAATTTTCTTTTAGGTAAATGTTTTATTAAAAGTAATAAAAGTAGTTTTTTTAATCTTGGTATAAGGTGTTAGTTTTGACTAAAAGTTGATAATTGAATACAAACTTTTAAGCTGCTCTCATCGTTTCGCATACGGTGTTCCCTAAAAAATGTAATGAAAGTTATCAGCGAAGTGAAGTTTTGTCCGAAATGACTTACTTATTGCTTCAGCAAACTCAGATATGTAATGAGACAGACACAGCTTACTGTGCTATCGAACAATTTAGATAAGTACTTTCACAAAATTATAACTTACATAGCTTCCTCCGAACGGCAGGTTGTATAAAAATAAAAATGCAATTTTGCATTCAAAACCTTTTAGATTTCGTATTTGTCTAAGAATTAGCAGATTTTCATATTTCTCGGAAGTCTTAATCAGCTGCATAAATAAGTACGGTCTCATTGTTGTGTTAAGCAAAACTTTTTCTGGTTTCTCGATGATGTAATACTCGTTTTGGTCGATCAGAACCATGTCTATGAGTCATGATAGTTTTGAACAGTGAAACAAATATTATTAGTATTGTCTAGTGTCTAATTCTATAGTTTAAATAAGAATGAATATTCTAAAAACACAATTAAGCGATTGTTAAGAATTGGGGCATCATTTAATGTGTGTTTTAGCGTCCACAAGTAATAACAACACTACACATGAACGTGTTTCTAAAAATAACCCGACCACGGTTAATCGTCAACGAACAGCCATGATTACTACGAACGTGGAAACTAAACTAGGAGTCAATATAAATACTTGCGCAGAAGTACTTACTAATGCTAGTCATTTTTTCGATGATTTTATTGCCGAATTGAATACAGTTTGTATCAAATGGAAAAAATTACCTATAGTACAATTGCTCATGTTTTTTCCTATTGAATCGGTTGAATCCGATATGGAAATTCTCAAAGAGTTTCTTGAACCTGATGTGATACCTAATTTACTTTGCATATTTACATTCTGGAAAAATCGAAAACGTTTGCAAGATGTATGTTTGGGCTTTAACGCTTTAATGTTTGCGCTCGAACGATTTCATATTTCTTCAAATACTGATCTCAAGACAATACTTACCGATTTAATCGAAATTAATAAACAAACCATTAGCGGTGTCTGTTACAATAAATACCATCATTATATAGAAACTGTTGAAAAGACATATTCGGCAAATATACTTAATCTGTGTGCCGAATTCAATGTATCAAGAGAACTCATCAAATTTTTGAATGAACTCACTACAACTGATGCTGATAATCTTCTTGAAGCTGTAAACGATTGGGATGAGACAATTATTAGCACCAAGTCTGTCATTGATTTTGTTAACCTCAAAACGTTTTTTACACGTGCTTACGCATCCATTGAGAAACTTTTCTCACGCGAGATAAAGCTCTCATTTCAAGATGTTGCAAAATGTTTTGATGATATTTTTAAAGATGATGACTTTAAGAACGTTATTGGATTATTTCAAACATGTTCTCAGTCTGTCACAGGCATCAAACATCTCTATCTTGAACTAACAGACAAAGAACAATCCAAACGACGATGTATTATGGACATTATGTCACATTCGGTATTGCATTTCGTTAAAGACCTCCGTTCAGAACGCATGTTTGATGTAGAAATAAAAGCAAAAAATCTCAATTTTGATGATTTAAGTGAATTGCGCGATCGAGCTCGATTAATTGAATATTCAAATAAAAACAAAAACAATCAAGAGCACAAAGTAGAAATTAAGCAATTAGAATCATTCGTCGAACTGGTTGGTGTAATTGAGGCCGTATTGGAGAATCTTTCGTCTCTCTATGTAGCAGGTTTTCCAACAGTAACTGAAATAATTAATAATAAAATTGTAACTTTTAATGAAAGCAACTATGACGCGCTTCGTCAATTATACACAACTCTGAAAGAAAACCTACAACTATGGGAAGTAAACTTGTGTCGAATGTATGCAATCTATCCCGAATTAACTCATTTCTCATGTGAGCAATTTCAAACGGTAGAAAGTTTCATTTACAACGTCGAAATTAACGAACAACATCCGGGGTATCATCTACTCAAGTATATTGGATTTAAACCAGCTTTTCAGCGAGCTACATTGCCGCAGAAAGCGCCAAACGAAAACGAGCGTTTAGAAAATTTGGGTAAAATTTTGGCAACGCAAAGGCCCGTCTCAGGCGAGCTTGAAGAAATGGAAGACAATTTTTCAGCTCAAACCGTAAGTGTTTATTTTCATTTATTACTTGGTTCTGTGAGAGCGCCAAATTGTATCATGTGTTTTATCTTTTCTCTTAAATGTAAGAAGCATATTATCATTCTTATTTCATTATTTGTTTAGAAAATTCTAAAAAGTTCAGGGACTAAAGCAAAGTAAACTAAAATTGTGAGTTTTCATGACCTGACGCAAGTTTTATTGACATGTGAAAATTATCCAGTGAGGAATAATTTTATCCGTAACACACCAACGCGAACGGAGTGACGAATAGTACAAAAGAGCTATTTAATCAGTTCAGTTTTTGAGAATCGATTCAGTCGATATGAACCTGGAATGTTGTTAAACTTTTATAGCCCAGATAGTGACGTATATTCGTTCGAACGATACTATACTTATGCATGAAAATAGCAGCTCAAGGGGAGGGGGCCCCCAGTAAACATACGCTCAAACTTTGCCAGTTTGTAGAGAATACCTTCGGTGGTATGCCTATGCAATAAAAAACTCGTTGATAAAATATTGACAGAGTTATTAATTAATTAAGTTCAAAATTAATTGAAATTTTTGGTTTGACAGGCATCTTTTAAAATCTTTCTAGTTTTCGATATTAATTTTATATTCAATTGACTGGGATGTGGTTTTATAGAGAATTGTTTGTAGATGTAATTCTATACAAAAAAAGTTGAAAAATGATATCTCTGACCGTTTTTTAACTACTAATTATATCTGGTTAGCACTACTTAGCGGCACTCCAATGGACAAAGTAAGTCTTCCTAATGTCAGAACAAATGGAAGCAAATCATGCGATATATCATTCGATAGAACTTTTCAAGCTCTATCGATGGTTCAAGCCACTTTTTTAAATTTTTATCTTATTTGTGTGAAAAATCAGTTTTAAATCATTTTTGGAGTTAAAAAACTGACTAATTATTAATTTTCTCAACCAGAACTCAAGTTCTATGTAATAAAAATACCATATTGGGATCAGAATCGAAAACTGAATCGATTGATGTGTAATTCGAAAATTTTGGTTCATTGTCATTTTTTGGTGAAAATCTCTATGGTCTTTCAATGTGAAAATTCGAAAAAAACAAGGAAGTGCTCGCATATGATAGAGATACACATCAATCGATTCAGTTTTCGATTATGATCCCAATATGGTATTTTTATTACATAGAACTTGAGTTCTGGTTGAGAAAATTAATAATTAGTCAGTTTTTTTAACTCCAAAAATGATTTAAAACTGATTTTTCACACAAATAAGATAAAAATTTAAAAAAGTGGCTCGAACCATCGATAGAGCTTGAAAAGTTCTTTACTTAGGGTATTTACGGTATTCAGGATACCTAGGATATTTAAGATGTTTAGGATATTTAGGGTACTTAGCATATTTAGGATACCTAGGATATTTAAGATATTTAGGATGTTTAGGATGTTTAGGATACTTAGGATATTTAAAGTCTTTAGGATATTTAAGATGTTTAGGATGTTTAGGATATTTAGGGTATTTAGGGTATTCAGGATACTTAGTTAAGATATTTAGGATATTTAGCATGTTTAGGATACTTATGATATTTAGGATACTTGAGATATTCAGGATACTTAGGATATTTAGGATTTTTAGGATGTTTAGGATATTTAGCATATTTAGGATACTTAGGATATTTAAGATATTTAGGATGTTTAAGATACTTAGGATATTTAGGGTATTCAGCTTATTTAAGATACTTACGGTATTTAGGATGTTTAGGATATTTAGGGTATTTAGGATACCTAGGATATTTACGATATTTAGGATATTTATAGCATTTAGCATATTTAACATATTTCGGATATTTGGGATAACTAGGATATTTAGAATATTTAGGATATTTAGGTGTTAGGATAGGTTTAGACCGCATCTTTACGTTGGGAACTACAATAATTCGTGAACTTTAAAAAAAAAGAGAAAGAACTTAAAAAAAGTTGTATTTTATAACTTTTATTAAATCCCGTTCTTCTTTTCATTCAACAAATATCTCAGGTAAACGATCGTGTTCGATTTTCAACTGACTTTTCTTCGCAAAACGTGTGAAGAACACAGTCTACCTACTAGTCTTTATTAAAAAAAAGAGTTTTAGTATATATACAAGTACAAAACTATGTACACATAAAAAAAGCTTTTAGTTCTCTTCGAGTCTTTTTTCTCTCTTCCTGGGCTGGCAGACCTTTTGCCTGATAGCTGTGTTGTAGATGGTG